CTTCCTTCCTTCCTTCCTTCCTTCCATCCTCCCTCTCCATTTTCTCCCTTCCTTCCTTCCTTTCCTTCCTTCCTTCCTTCCTTCCTTCCCTCCCCATTTTCTCTCCTTCCTTCCTCAATCCCCATTTCTCTCCTTCCTCCCTCCCTCCCCATTTTTCCTCCTTCCTTCCTTCCTTTCCTCCCGCCCCATTTTCTCTCCTGCCAGCCTTCAAGATCTTCTGCTACTGCTTTGCATCTTTGGGCTGCCATAAGTAAGGTGGGGGGGGGGGGGGGGGAGGGGGGGAGGGGGGGGGGATATGGTCTGGGAAGAGCGCTGGAGGAGTTACGTTTTTGTGTTGTGTAAATGAGGAGGCGGGGAGTATAAATTCCTGCTTTCAGGTTTCCATTCCTTGCTTATCTTTCTCTCCTCTGCGCAGCTGCAAACCTTTATCAAAATATGCCAAGGTCAACGGGCAGAGGCCTCATCGCCACCTGAAGACGCCCACATGACGGATATTCAGAACTTTTAACTGGAGGAACCGTTTGATCTATTGGGGGTAGATGTGATTTACGCGCCCATTTCCTCAGATTCAGAATTCGTTTGTTGCTACCACGTGACTTCCAGTAAAAAGATATCTTTTCTCTAATTAAAAGAGTCTGAGTATTTCTTTCTTGGATTTTGAACGGAGCACAGGCTGACACCTTCCTTCTTCCCTTCCTCCCCGTTTTCTCTCCTTCCTTCCTCCCTCTCCATTTTCTCTCGTTCCTTCCTTCCTCCCTCTCCATTTTCTCTCGTTCCTTCCTTCCTTCCTTCCTTCCTCCCCATTTTCTCTCGTTCCTTCCTTCCTCCCTCCCTCTCCATTTTCTCTTCCTTCCTTCCTTCCCATTTTCTCTTTCTTCCTTCCTTCCTTCCTCCCTTTTCTCTCGTTCCTTCCTTCCTCCCTCCCCATTTTCTCTTTCCTTCCTTCCTTCCTTCCTCCCTTTTCTCTTGTTCCTTCCTTCCTCCCTCTCCATTTTCTCTCCTCCCTTCCTTCCCATTTTCTCTTCCTTCCTTCCCTCCCTTCTCACATCGTTGACGTTCCCCAGATGGGTCACGAAACGTCTGCAAGGAAACCACCCGGCTCAGAGAGCAACAGAGACCCCCAGCCACCAAGTGTTTTACAAGTGACTGGCTCTCCCACGTTTGGGGCCCAGAGGAGACAGAACCCAGAAAGGCCAAATGGTGTCTCTCTCTCTGTCTCTCTCTCTCTCTCTCTTTCTCTCTCTCTCTGTCTCTCTCTCTCTCTCTCTCTCTCCTGACATCCGTCAACGGCCTGGAAAGCTTCTGTACTGGTTCCCCCCAAGACAGCCTGGGCTCTGTTGGACGCCATGGCTGGACCTGTCGTGGCCAGATCAAAAGTCGGGGGAAGAGGAGGAAGGCTACCCAAGGCCGGGCGTCGTCCTCTGCCCGCCCCCTCCACCTGCTGCAGGGAGGGCAGAGCGAGGAGAGGGAAGGCCCCACCTCTGCTCCTTGCGACGGCGTTTCTCCTCCTCGTGGAGGACTTTCTTGAGCTGGAGGAAGAGCTGATGTTTCTCCTCCTGCAGGGCCTGCAGCTTCTCCTGCAGCTTCAAGATCTGTGGGGTGAGGAAGAGGAGAGAGAGAGAGAGGAAGAGACGGAGGGGTCGGTCTCCCGAGAGTGGGGGGGCTCCTCCTCCTCCCCACCGCCGCCCGGCAACCCCCACCTGCTCCTTGGTCTCCTCCAGGGACATGCGCTCCTCCATCTCCTTCTTCCTCCTCCGCTCCTGCTCCTCCTTCATCTTCTGCTCCATCATCTTGTCCACCTCTTCTTCTTCTGCGGGACAGAGGGAGGGGCTGCTACCAAGGAGGGCAGCGCCTGCTCCCCCCCCTTCACAAAGGCGGCAGGCGTTGGGACCCGCTTGCCAGCTCCTTGGGGGGGGGGGGGGGGGGGGGGGAGGGAGGGAGGGAGGGGATTTTCACCCCCCCCTTTTTGGCCTTCTCCAACCCCCCCCCTCTCCCCATGCCCAAAATGACCCCGGCCGGCCCCGCCCAACGATGAGACTTGGAGGAGCCCGGTCTCTCCCCCCCCACAAACCGCACTCTCCGCTCCAGGAGCTCTGGGGCCCCTCCCCCAAAGTAGGGGAGGTCCCCCGGCTGCTGAAATGTGTGGAATATCCCCCTCCCCTTCCTCGTTTTAAGATGTGAGATCTGCAGAGAAAGGACTGCAAACCAGGAGGGGGTCTCCAATTAGGGCCATTTTTTTAAAAAAAAATTAAAATAACTATTAAAGATTTAAATATATCTATATATCTATATATCTCTCTCTCTCCTTCTCTCTCTCCTTCTCTCTCTCCTTCTCTCCCTTTCTCTCTCTCCTTCTCTCTCTCTCTATCTACACACACACAATACGTAATATAAGACATTTTGTTACAAGCGAAATGAACGTGAAAGACAAAACACACATAAAACATATATGCTTCTAGCACAATTAGACAGCACGTTCCTTCCTCAAAAACAATTTTTCTAACGTTCCTTTCCCGTTACCGGTCAATGCTCTTAGTCTAACCACTTTATTTTTTCACCCCCCAGCATTCCTTTATATTTTTATTCTCTGGCATTTATCCTTAATCCAACTCTACTGTTTCCCCCAAACTGTACTCTCTTTCGAGTCTGCTTCGTTCTTTAGTTTTTTTGGGGGTAAAGTACGTGCATTTCAGCGCAGTCAAGAACCTTCTGAGTTATCAAATGGCTTGTTGGCATTTGGACACCACTCCCAGCGCGATTCTTCCTGCCGTAATTATAGGAAGAATTAAGTATTTCTTTTGTGTGGTCACCTTTTATCATTCCCGAAGTAACCAGGGCCACTTTTATGGCTTGGGGGGGACTTCAACTCCCAGAATGCCCCAGCCAGGCAAGGCCCATCCCTCCACTGGCCACAGGGCAACGAAACTTGCTCCTTTGATACGGCCAGATGCCAAAGGAGCAGTAGAGACCACCAGGGGAGGCTCCCCCAAGACCCTTATGCAAGGGGGAACGTCATTTTTTGGAGGGGGGAGGGGGGTCTACCTTGTTTAGAAGACGAGGGTTCCCCCTCCCCTCCAGAAGGTCGGGGCCATAGTTGACCGTTTGGGACAAGCCCAGCCTGGCAGGGTCGGCTCCTGGGATGGGACAAGCTTGGCGACTTTTAATTTGCCTTTTGGTGGACTTCAACTCCCAGGAAAACCCCCCCCCCCCCATGTCTTTGAGGGGCACATCTGGCCCTGGTCACCATCCCATCCAGCTGTGGGATCCTCTGGTTGGTCAGTCGACAAAGACGTCCAAATCGTAAAGTTTGGCTGAGATTCCAACGGTTAAATTATGTCCAGGGCCTACTAAAGCGAGTAATAATTTAAAAAAAAAGAGAGATTTAAAAGAAAAACAAGGTGGGGTGGGGGAAAACAAGGGAGGGGGGGGGTCTTTGGACCATTGGTTTTTTTTGCAGACGTCTCAACTAGGGAACGTCACCTGTGGTCGAAGGGGAGCAAGGATGGGATTCTTGCAAGGGATTCTGGGAGTTGAAGTCCACGGGGCTTCAAAGGAGCCCAAGTTTGGAGATGCCGGCTCCAAGGTCTCCTTTGGAAAAAGGGGTGGACTTCAACTCCCAGAATCCACCCCAGCCTGCCATGTTGGTTGGGGGGGATTCTGGGAGTTGAAGTCCACGGGGCTTCAAAGGGGCCGGCGTTGCCCACCCGTTCCTCCGTGGGCGCAGGGAGGCACCGCCAGGCTTGGCATCCAGGAGGGGACCTTCGCCCGGCTTGGGACTGGGAGGAGACCCCTGGCTGGAAGGGTGAGGGGCTTGGAAGTCTGGAAGAGGGTCGGTCGGGAAATATAGGGGGGCCTGCTAGGGCAGGAGGGGTCTGGGAAAGCTGGGGGGGTGGAATTGGGGGCATCTGAAAGTGGCAACGTGTGTGTGGGAGAGGTGTCAAATGAGGGAGGGGGCTGGGAGTGTGTGTGTGTTTATGTGTGCAAGTGTGTGTGGGGGGGGCTGGATATGTGGAGGACCTGGGGGTCGGAAGTGGGGGTATTGCAAGTGTGGGTGAGAAGTGGAGGGACTGGAACTGGGTGTGTCTATAAGTGCCTGAAGTGTAGAGAGTGTCTGGAAACATTGGAGGAGTGTTTACAAGTGTGTGTGTGTGTTACAAGCAGGAGGGGCTGGAAATAGGGGCGCTGGAAGTGGGAGGGGTCTGTAGATGGGGTCCCATCTGAAAGGAAGGGGGGAATCTCACCATCAAAATTGGCAAAAACGTACCTGAAGCTATTCCCCCAAAATATTGGAAGCGTAATAAGGAAATTGGGAACATACTATCACTTATGGTGGAATTGCAAGAAATCCCAAAATTCTTGGCCGAAAATTCAGAAATTGGACAGTGTGAAATTCAAATCGAATCACAGACCTGATTTTTTTTTTTTTCTGTTGGGAATTAATGTGGGAAAATACAAGAAAGACGCAATATACTTAACTAATCCATGTCACCACAGCCGCAGGGGGAACTTAGGCCCCCAAATTGGAAAGGTGACGAAACACCCGATGAGAGGGAATTAGGAAAATTTGGATGGACAAACTAACTCAAGAATTTAAAAAAAAAAAACCAAAACCGAATCTGATTATTATAAAATTTGGGAAAAGTTTGACCACTAGTTTGGAAAAAAAGGAAGGAACAAGATGATTAAAAGTGACCAAATTTTATGTATCTATGTACATTTGTATCATTCTTTGTACTTGTTAAGGATGGGAGACAGGATGGATGCACCACCTTAAATGTCTTTTCTTTCTTTCTTTTTTAACAAATGGATTGTAAATAAATAGGGATAAGCACTAGATAAGTTAATGATTTACATCAGCACAAATTCTATATATTTGTAAATAATGCACCAAATATTAGTATAAGATGAATGTCACAAACTGCTGATCTTGTAAGGTTTATATTTTTTGTTGTTTGCCTTTTTTTAAAATTATAAAATATTAATAAAGTTTATGTAAAAAATGTCTTTTCTTTTTTTGTAGGTCTAATAAAAAATTTTTAGAAAGAAAAAAGAAAGCAAGGGGGGGGAATCTGCTCCTTGGGGGGGCT